AGAAAAAAGGAAATCCTTGACGACTTCAATCTTTTCTCCACTTATCATGATGTTGCTTATTGGTCCTATTGGATTTTTGTTTTCTTTATGTTTAGCTGTAATCCATACTGAAAGCTTTACTCTTTGATCTTCATAAGTAAGTGCTTCAAGTCCTTTTCACTTTTCAGCAAGCAAGGTTGTGCATCTGCATATTGCAGTTGTTAATGAGTCTTCTTCCAAAGCTGATGCCCTGTTCTTCTTCATATAGTCCAGCTTCTTGGATTATTTACTCAGCATACAGATTGAATAAGCATGGTGAAACCACACAACCCTGTTGGACACCTTTCCTGATTTTAAACCACACAGTATCCCTTTGTTCTGTTCAAATGACTGCCTCCTGGTCTATGTACAGGTTCCTCATGAACACAATTAGGTGTTCTGGAATTCCGATTCTTTGTAATGTTATCCATAATTTGTTATGATCCACAAAATTGAATGCTTTAGCATAGTCAATAAAACATAAGTAAACATCTTTCTGGTTTTCTTTGCTTAATGATATCCCTCGTTCTATGCCCTCTTCTAAGTCCAGCTTGAATTTCTCTCAGTTTCCTGTCAATATACTGTTGCAACCATTTTTGAGTGATTTTCAGCAAAATTTTATTTACATATGATATTAATGATATTGTTCAATAATTCAGGCATTCTGTTGGATCACCTTTCTTTGGAATGGGCAAAAATACGGATTTCTGTCAGTTAATGGTCAGGTAGCTGTCTTCCAAATTTCTTGGGCATAAACATGGGAGTATAGAAGTGTTTCTTCTGTTTGCTGAAATACCTCAATAGGTATTCCATTTATTACTGGAGACTTGTTTTTCGCCAGTTCTTTCAGTGCAGCCTGGACTTCTTCCTTCAATACCACTGGTTCTTGATCATACACTACCTCCTGAAATGACTGAATGTCAAACAATTCTTTTTGGTACAGTGACTCTGTGTACTCCTTCTATCTTCTTTTGATGCTTCCTGCCATCATTCACTATTTTGTTCATAGAATCCTTCAATATTGCAACTCGAGGCTTGAATTTTTTTTTCACTTCTTTCAGCTTGAGAAATGCTGAGCATGTTCTGATTTTCTCACTCCAAGTCTTCGCACAGTTCATTATAATACTTTGTCTTCTCGAGCTGCCTTTGAGATCTTCTTTTCAGCTCTTATTCATCAAGTCTTCCATTTGCTTTAGCTACTCTCCATTCAAGAGCAAGTTTCAGATTCTCTTCTAACATCCATTTTGGTCTTTTCTGTCTTTCCTATCTTTTTTAATGCCCTTTTGCTTCCTTCACGTATGATATTCTTGATGTCATCCCACAATTCATCTTGTCTTCAGTAACTGGTGTTCAATGTGTCAAATGTATTCTAAATAGCTGGTCTCTAAATCCAGGTGGGATATATTCAAGGTCAAATTTTGGCTCTCATGGACTTGTTTTGATTTTCTCACATGCAACTTGAACTTGCATGTGAGCAATTGATGGTCTGTTCCACAGTCAGCCCCTGGCACTTGACTGATGATATTGAGCTTCTCCATCATCTCTTTCCACTGATGTAGTCAATTTGATTCCTGTGTATTCCATCTGGCAAGGACAGTACAATTTGGACCAGCCACTTTTCAAGTGCTCATTCAATAGTCCATGTGGCTAGTGGTACTATACTGGACAGAACAGCTCTAGATGAATACAGTACCTCTGACTTAGTATTAAATGTAACTCTTCTTTGTTCGCTAGAATCAACAGTCTAAAGGAGAAAAGGGAAAACATGAATGTCCATTTCTGATCAAGGATACTGCCAACTTCTTCAAAAGATGATTATTTTTCCCAGTACTATATTCTAAAAGAAACATAACAGATGGATCTTCATACAGAGAACACAAAACTCTATAATGAAAAATAACTTGAACTGAAGTTTTACATAAGATACAAATGTGACCTTCAAATTGCTATCTTTGGTTTTGACTCATATTAAACATGAACAGCAGCACATACTTTGGTGAAGTGCTACAGTAAATCAACACAGAGCTTACTGAGGACTCCTGATAGTTCTAGGTCTAGCTAGAAATATTAGGGAAGGGTGTGTCAAAGGAAAGACCTGGTAATCTACTTCCAAAAAAAAAAAAATCAGCCACTGAAAATTCTATGGAGCACTACTCTGACACACATGGCATCACCATGAGTCATGGTTGACTGTCAAGTGGTTAGTCTTCATAACTACTGCAAGCATTATCTCATTTTAATTCTTACAGTAACTCTGAGAGGTTGATACTAATGGAATTGGTATTGGTCCCACATTCCAGATGAGGAAGCTGAGGCTTAGTGAAATTAAGTGATGTGCCCAGGATCACATAGAAAGTATACACCCAGCCATCCAGTCTAGTGACTGTATCACACATGTTCATGGAAAAGTTATACCTTTCATAATGATAAAAGTGAAAAAGGTGTTAAACACAACCAAGCTCATTCTCAGTGATCCTGTGTGGTCATTTCAAATAGGTACTCCCTGAGCTTCTCCTTTGATAGCATTTAGATCAGGCATCACAGACTTTTTCTGTAAAAGGCCAGATAGCAAGTATTTTCAGTTTGTGGGGATATACAGCCTCTGTCACAACTACTCAACTCTGCTGTTGTGGTGCAAAAGCAGCTACAAACAATACAGAAATAAAGGGTGTGGTTGTGTTCCAATAAAGCTTTATTTATGGATACTTACAATTAAATTTCATGTGATTTTCATGCATCATGCAATATCATTCATATTTTGATTTTATCCTCAACCATTTAAAAATGTAAAAACCATTTGTAGCTTGCTGGCATAGTTTGCCAAACCTGACTTAGATGAAAAACTCTTAAATGGATTCACTAATGCCTATTTCTGGCTATTAAACAATTTGGAATTGGCAATTACTTTAATGTACCTCAAAAGTGGATAACTTACAGTGTTAAATTATCATATTTGGACTAATGACTAGCAGCTAATTAGAAAATCATATTATGTACTTTTTTTTTTTAAATTTAAATCTAATGATACTATCTTTGGAACTTTATATTTAACCAAAGTATTTTAATTTCTACATAAACAATGATATTATTTATTAAATATAAGAATAGTGTTAAAAGAAAAACACTTATGAACTATGGAGGCTTCTATTTTGTCTAGCAAGTTAAAGAACATCTGGTTCCATCCAATCTTAAAGATAAAGTTTCAGAAAACATATTTTAATTGATTTGACTATTTTCAAATGACTATCCAAACACTGGCTTTTCTCTGCACATATACTGTCTGTTAAAGTCAGGAATTTGGCAGCTAATTATCTTTACCATATATGCTGTAGCGACCTCCTTTGGTTTTCTGAGGTGGTAAATCTTTATTGGACCAGTCTTCCTTACAGCTAAATTAAAAGGACCATTTAAATGGAAGTAGATCAACTATGCAATGAAGGTTCTCAATGGAAAAAGGCTCAATGGGATTACTGTATTTTACACAAAGAACGGGAGTTCTACATTTGTTTGCCAATGATATTCTCCTTCCAGGTATTTTCAGAAGTGCACTATGTCTAATTATTTTTCCTTTTTTAACATGTTCTGGGGAAAAAAATAGCATAGCCCACTTATAAAAACACCTGGGGGGATTTTTATATATTGTTTTAATCTAGTAATTTCACTTCTAAAATTTTATCCTAAGGAAATAATCATGGTTGTGCATAGATTTAGTTACAAAATATTTATCATACCTTTGGCTAGAATAATACATTTTTTTTTTCCTAATTGTAGAGGCCTGATTATCCAAATTATGATATACATTCCTATTCTTTGATTGGGATTTCTGAACTCTATTATAACCTTATTAGACTAATGACATATATATGTTTGGATGTTGCCTGAACAGATATTATACAGTGCATGCCTATAGTAACAGATTATTATGTACTCATCTTTTTAAAATTGCTACAGCAGAGTAATAATTAATGATGTGGATAGATGCTCATGATAATACTAATGATTTTTAGAAGCAAGTATAGAACAGCACACAGCATATAAACCCATTCCAGTCAAATATATATGTTGTTGTGGTCAGCTTCCAAGTTATCCCCCAATAATCCTCACCCTCTTACTATTCACACCCTTGTACTGCCCACTCGCACTGTATCAGGATTGGTCTGTGTGGTTGACAGCACAGGGCAAAAGTGATGTCTGCCACTTCTGACTAGGTTACAAAAGACTGTGGCTTCCATTTTGGGCATCTGTGCCTTCTTTCTCTAAGATCACTCCCTCTGGGGATGCAAGCTGCCATTTTGTGAGCAGCCTACTGAGGTCAACGGGGTAAGGAACAGAAGCCTCTGGCCAACAGCCAGTGAGGAGCTGAGGCCTGCCAACAAATGGCTGTAAGTGCAGTTGACAGCCCTGGATGAACCACTAAGCTGTGTCTAGATTTCTGACCCTTAGAAACTGTGAGATGGTAAATGGTTTTTGCTGTTTTAAGCTGCTAAATTTTAGGGTAATCTATTATGCAGCAATAGATAATTAATACATCTGAGCACAGGGAAATGACTGGAAGAATACAATTCAAAATATTATCAGTGGTTATCTTTAGGTGGTGGGTTATTTTTATTCTGATGTTTTATAGAATACTGCCCAATGTTATTCCTTTTACAGAAAACAGGAAAAGAGAACTATATGACCAATGGTTTAGAAGGTCACAGGGATCACATGACCGTCTAAGGAATAAAAGGATAAAGATTACAAGAACCAATTTTAGCCCCTAATAATCACTGCAAGATTCTTTTCAAGTAAATTGCTGTTAAATGTGTAAAATACCAAACTCTAAAGAGAAAACCTGAATGCCTAAAGCTTCACCACCAGAAACCAATCAATGCATTGTACGCAGTAGTAACTTTAAGGAAAGACTTCTACAGGCTTCTTAAAGGAAAATCAATCAGTAATGAAGCCATCTGTTAGCAGATCAGCACAGAACTCTAACTTACCCAGTTTCTGGTCAAACCGCCATGCTGCGATGTAGGCATTGTGCCTCAGACTGCTCTGTGTGGACAGTGGCACAGTGACGTAGATGGGCCCATCCACCAGCACCGGCGTCCCATCACTGCTGAGCAAGTGGACACTGACGGCTGTGACCGGGGTCAGGTCATACCTTGTGCTGTTTCCTGGAAGTAAGAGGCATCCTCTATCATATGCAAATAAAGAACCTATAGGGGCTGGGGAACCATCCGCAAAAAATAATAGCTACCATTTACTGAGTACTCCTATATGCCAGATGCTGTATTAAGCACTTTGCATATATAATCCTCACTACTACCTTATAAAGTAGGTGAAATATTAAGAAACTGAGGCCCAGAGAGGGTAAGTAAAGGTAGCTGGCCTAAGGATACATACTAGCTAGTGGTAGAGCTGAGATTCTAGCTCAGGCTTGCTGATTCTATCTACTATGCTATGCTTTCAAAAAGGGCCTACAAAGGAAAGGACTTGTCTATCATAAGAGAGGAAGGTGTATGTGGAAACCCCTGAAAACAACTTCTACCTAAAGTGAGCCCCATGCACATGTTAATTACTTGGCAGGTCATACCAACTTACTTCTGTAAAAAATGCACTATTCAAAACTTGGACTTGAAATATTTATGAGTTATTTTTGTTGCCACTGTTATTTTGATCTGTTTAAAAGAAATTTAATACCAATTATTCTACATTAAAAGCCTTTCATCCAAGCCAATGCTCTAATGACTATCTACTGATAAATTAGGGAATGCTTGAGAGAGTGTTATTTATACACTTAAGCAATCCATTTTAGACTTCATCCTCCAGAGAAATATAAAAATCACGCAAATGTAATCTGTCATAATTTTAAATATTTCTTTCAACACAATGAAGAAAACAGTGATAAGAAGTTTTTAAGCTGTATCACAACACAGTCCATAGGATTTCATATTCAGTTACCTACCTACCTACCTACCTGAGCTAATGCAAACTTCCAATTAGGACCGAATTCAAACATTTAAAGCAAACCTAGTAGATTTTAGAATTCTAACAATGAGTTATGACTAAAACCTTCCTAGGGTAACTTCTACATAGCTAATGACAGTACTACTTTTTATATTTGTATCCAACTCTGTTTTTCAATGAAGAAAGAGGCATGGAAATGGAGATTTCATCATAAGGTTCAAGTTGGAATCGTAGACTCAAGTTCACAAATCTTTTAGCCAGGCTTTTTCATTATAGGGTAGACGGAACTCATTCCAGAAAGCTGCTTGGCTTCATAGTCTATTTCCAACTTTCCTGGACTTCAGGAAAATTTCACACATTTGTCATTTTATTGATTCTTCTCTATCTTCCTGGAGTTACTTGGTAAATACTTCTTTAGAACCCCTTGGGTACATCATAGAATAGTTAGTTCTGTGCTTTCTTAGCAATCAGAGCAGAGAGTGAAACGTTATAGAGGCACAGGGTCTTTGCCTTGAGTGTGTGTTGGGGGACGTCCAATATAATAGCAGGAAACTATGGAGCAGAAAGACTAGGAAGAACAAGCAGGGAAGTAGCTGAAATCTCCCCACATGTACATGTGTCCATTTACAACTCTAGAACCTATCCTCTAAACTGGTCACGACTCCTCTTGTGATACTCCAAGAAAACCACCCTTTGGAGAGCTTTCCAATTGCCTTTGTTGCTTCCGTTCACCTTTGTTAAACTCCAGTTATGACTAGTCATCTCACTAACAAGTTTTGTCCAGGCACTTACTCTAAGCTGAAATCTCTTTGATGACTTTTATGAAAAAGTATGCAAATAATTATATAAGAGAGAAGCTGTAAACCAAGTGAAACTGGAGACCAGTACCTAGCTGATTAGCTATTAGGGCCTGTACATTAAATAGGAGCACAGGACCTCCGTGTGTATGAGAGTGAGCCCAGGTCACAGTGAAGGCCTTTCCCACAGGACTCAAATGAGAGCTGATGGTTTCTAGGGCATCTCATCAGTTATTGCAGAGGAAAAAAAGTTTAATGTAACCTCTAAAAAACCTTCTCTCTTCCCTGTGAAATAACAGAGTGATTTTAAAATATAAGGAACTCTTCTAAAATCAATAGTCCCACGTCTTTGTGTTCTTCCTCCCCCAGTCTTCTCCAATTTCGTAATTTATTCAACAGCTCTTGGAAGTGGGACACAGAAAAATTAATGAGCTCAAAGGAATGAAGTAGTCCCTCTGAGTCCAAGGTTTTATGACTATGCACCATTTCACTGGGAAGACTAGATAAAGGCTTTAAGATGGTCTGTATTTCCTCATGCTCCCCCAAACAATTTTCTTCTCCTAGGTCTGCATTTTCAAGGGAAAAGTCAACATTTCTCTTCAATCATGCTTAGTTTATGATAACTACTATGCATCTTGTATGATGGCAAATTACTTACATATTGCATCCTCAGCACACAAAAATTAAAGGAAGAAGAAACATTTCTGAAAACAGTTACCATAGAGAGAAGAAAAGTAAGTAACAAATCAACAGGTCACCTTAATCCCTAACCAGAAATTTATTAACATTCCACAAAGTGGAACAGATGTTACAGGATAGAAAAGTTTTTCAGAATAATCAGCTTATGTAAAGCATTGGAAAATTAAGCAAAATTAAACCAAAAAATACTTGGGAAATGCAGTACCATATTCACCTAAGCAGGATTTAACACAGAATGGTCCCTGGTTTTCAATTTTATGTCGTGACTGAAGTATGGGAAAAAGAAGTGGGGGAGACATGAGAACATTTCAAGATGCCAGAATCCCTGGCACCTCTCCATTTATCAGGAGGATTGGGGACCGTTTAAGTTCTAAGAAGGAGCCCTGGTGGTGCAGTAGTTAAGTGCTCAGCTTCTAACAGAAAGGTTGCCAGTTTGAACCCACCAGTCACTCCACAGGAGAAAGATGAAGCAGTTTGCTTCCATAAAGATTACAGATCTGGAAACCCTATGGGGGCAGTTTTACCCTGTCCTATAGGGTTGAGCTCTGGTGGTATAGTACCTAAGGCATTTGACTAACCAGAATGCTGGTGGTTCAAACCCACTAGCCGCTCCTCAGAAAGAAAACTGGGCTATCTGCTTCCATAGAGATACTGCCTCAGAAACCCAAGGAGGGGTCACTTCGACTTGAAGGCAGTGAGTTTATTTTTTTTTTTAAATAGGGTCACCGTGAGTCAGTGGGTTTAAGTTCCCAGTGCCTCCATGAGCGGCACAGTTGGATGTGAATGGAGATTTACAGTCTTGTTCTGATAAGGCATTATTACCCATATGCTGGCTGATGGCTTTTAATTCTCTGATCTTTTATCTATACATGTCATGTCAGAATAGGGTGATTAGTGAGCTGACTTACAGATGCACTAGAAGGGGATTCAAAATCAACACCCAAAGCCTGATTACTCTTCCAAGTTAAGGCAGAGAAAGTAAGCAAGGACAAAGGAGAGATGTGAGAAAAGAGGCAAGGACACAGAGGGTGGAGAGCAAAAGCTCACCACTCTAAAAACCGCTCAGAGCGCTAGCTTGCTCATCTCCCAGCTGTGACCCAGGGGTGGGTGTGGCCTCTGCACCCACAGGCTGCAGCTCCACTAACCATACAGTCCAAGTGGGACAAGGCAGAGGACAGAAGGTCAGGAAATCCATAACTTTGATCTTATACTATTTTTAAAAATACAATTTCAATTGTAAGAGTTTCTCTGAATTAAATATAGTATTTAGTCAAACAAAGAAGTGCTCAGGGAAGAAGCTATTCAAAACCATACATAAACCTCCTTCAAGGCATTTGGCAACAATGGAAAGGGTCAAGGAGACAAATTGACTAAAGTTCAACCACTGCAGTACGGTAGGCAGAATTCCTCAAGAGCTCTAGTGTAAGCTGCCACAGTTTCCATGAACTTGAACCTGTAGAAAGAATTCCCCTTCTGTAACTTCGGTCCAGTTCTCCCAGCCACCTATAAAGCCCTAAAGATTAAAATACAGAAACTTCAGTTCAAAAGAAAAGTATCAAATTACCTGTTCCATTGCCATCTAATCCTCGCAAATAAGGAAAACTGTCCACTTCTGAGGGGGCGCTGGCAGCGGTGAGGAACGCAGTCAGATCACTGTAGCTGGTGTTCTCAGGCAATCTCAGAGCTCTTCTCTGGAAATGAACGCGAGGCTGTGGCCGGGCACCTGCAGAAATTAACCTCTGAGTTACCTCCTGAGGGAGCAGTTTCTGTTTTTAGAAAATGGAAACCAGGAAGTGTCTCTGGAAGGTTTCCAACTACCCCTCCTCCACCCTACTCCTTCCCACCCCTCCTCCCCATCCCCCATTCATGCCCGGACACAAAGATGTGACAACATGCTATTATGTGGATAGAAATAATAGCCCATTGTCACATTTGTTTTGACACAGGATGTTGTTTCGTTTTTTAACAAAAAACTTTCTGAGTTCTATTTGTTAGCAGTCTTTTCATTGCACAGTATTTGTCCACGGAGAGGGGTAACATTTCGGAAAAGAAAATCCACATAAATGAAACAAGTAGATGACAGTTAATCTTTGTACACAAACAAATGCTGCAAGAGATACCCTTTGATACTGTTACAAACACATACTTAATCTTCATGGTAAAAACTGGTTTAACTCCACAGACCAAATTGAAACAGAATAAGGGAATTAGATGCTCAGCCTTGAAAAGATTTGCAAACAAGAACTCAGTGGTAATTAACTCTATTCTTTCTGTGGAAGGTGCCATGTGGCCTGCAGTGTCTTCTGTGAGGTACATGCTATTCATGACAGATTATGTTACAGTTTTCACAAGACTTTTGAAATTGTGTACTCTTCACCAAACTCACTCCCCCTTGGGCAGAAGGACAGGTTCAGCCAACAGGCCCTAGACAATACCTTGTCATATCATCTGCACTTTAACTTTGTTCCAGATGTCGTTTTGAGTATGAAATCTGAACTTGTTTCACCTGATGCTGTGGTGACAGTCATGAGCTGTAAAGGTGCCAAGTTATCTGCACAAACTCAGTAAAGCATAATAATTAAAGCAAAGATCAACAGAAACAAGAATCAACGTTGTTCTCCATCCTATTATGGTGAGTAGTGACTAGGTCTTAGAGGCTTTTGAGTTGCCATCTAAGATGCAACTATTGGTCTCCCCTTGTCTGGAGTAAAGTAAAGTGAAGAAAATCAAAGACATATCTAAAAAATCACTCCAGGGGACTAATGGTCCATGAGAAGCTCAGCCGACATGACGCTGAGACCAGAACTAGATGGTGCCTGGCTACCAATGCCAACCACTTGGAAAGAGATCAACACTGGAGATCCTAGGTAGAGTTGGAGGCAAAACATGGAACAACACTCAAAAACATAAAAATGACCAGAACTACTGACAGAGGCTGGTGAAACTCTCATGACTATGGCCCCAGGTTACTCTTTGGGCCTGGAATTGGACTCCCCCCTGTAGGTTAGCTCTCAGCCAAACAACAGACAGGCCTATGAGCTGAACAACTACATGAGGGAGACTCACTCCTTAGAACTGTCAACCATGAGAGACGGGAAGGGCAGCATTTGCACAGGGGGAAAGCTAGACAGACAGGAATGCATAGGTAAGAAGGGCACAGGGAAGGCATAATACAGGGAGGAGATGGGAGGAAAGCTGTTCATTGTAGGGATTGTAATCAGTGCTGTGAAACAAAGTGTTTATAAACTATTAAGTGTAAAACTAATCTGCCTTGTAAATTTGCACTCATATTACAATTTAAAAAAAAAATGTTAAAAAAAGAAAAAGAAATGAGAGTCATATAATTTCTCCAGGTTAAAATATGGTGATTCTTCAAAAGCAGTGGTCTTAGAGGCATTCTGGCTGTTATGAAACCTGTCCCTGGGTTGTGACTGACCCTGTTTCCCATGCTTGCCTGGGGGCGCCTTTTCCCCAACCCACAGCTGTCCTAGTATATCTACCCTGCCCAGAGTTAGTGTTCTTTCTACTACTCCAGGATCCTCTTAACTCTGGATCAGAGAACTTATAAGAGTCCTGGTTAAGTGCTTGGCTGCTAACTAAAAGGTTGGTGGTTCAAACCCATTAGCCACTCCAAGAGAAAGATACGGCAGTCTGCTTCCATAAAGATTACAGCCTAGGAAACCCTATGGGTCAGTTCAACTTTGTCTTATAGGGCTGCTAGAGTCCAAATAGATTTGATGCCCTAAAGAATAATAGAATCTGCAAAACACTGCATAACATGGATGAACTTGGAGGACATTATGCTGAATAAAATAAGACAATCACAGAGGGGCAAATATTGTATTAGTCCATTATTGTAAAAAGTCAAGGAAAAGTTTATATATGGAAGGAAATTTTCTTTGGTGGTTACCAGGTGTGGGACAGGAGGGGAGAGAACACGGCAAGGTAAGTAGAGACAAGTATTGGTTTGGGTGAAGGGAAGGGCAATGTACCAAATGTGAATGATCAGTATGGTGGCACTGAGGAAGAAGAAGGCATAGAAAGCTGCATGGGAGGTACAGACTACAAAGATGAATGCTTTTGCACACACAATACTGCGTTGTCAGTAACAACAAACATTGATCTCTGGGTGGATAGATGGGTGGACAGGCTGAACGATCAGGTATATCTATGCGGGGGGCGAGGTGTGTGCCCGTGTATAGGGTTGGCGGACAAAATTTCTACAAGTGTATTTGTATGTTCTGTAAGAATGTCCAGGTATATAGTAGAGCTGACAAGGAACAAAGTTGCAGTCATTTCTTAGCCACAGCCAGCTACTCAGAGGGAGTGGGTAGTTGGACCTGTGGGCTCAGGACCATGGTTTCAGGGGACATCAAGTTCAACTGGCACAACATACTATACAAAAACACTGTTCCACATCCTACTTTGGTGAGTAGCAACTAGGATCTGAAAAGCTGGCAAGTGGTCATCTAGATGAAACGATGGGTCTCTCCTCATCCAGAGCAAAGAAGAATTAAGGAAACCAAAGACGCATGGAAACAATTAGTCCAAGGAACTGGTACACATATGATCCTCAGCCTATACGACTGTGAGACCAGAAAAACTAGATGGTGCTTGGCTACCACTGTCAATCACTGAGCGGGGGATCTATGTAGGAGGATCCTGGATAGAGTGGGTGAACAATGTGGATCAAAACAAAATCATAAAAAAAAGGAGGGGACCAGGTTTGTTGGTCTGATAGAGCCTGGTGAAACCCCTGAGACTATGGTGCCTAGCTGCCCTTCAGGTCTGGAACTGAACTCACTCCTGTGGCTTCCAGCCAAAAAGACAGGCAAATGAGCTGAACATTTACATTAGGTAGATACACTCCTTGGAGAGATCAATCATGGAAAAATAGAAGGGTTGTGTATGCACAGGGAAACAGCTCAGGGGCAGGAGTGCATGGGAGGGAAGGACACAGAGAAGAGGTAACTATGGGGAGGAAGTAGGAGGAGAGTTGTTGCACTGTGGGAAATTGCAGTCAATGTCATGAGACAAAGTGTAGGTCAACTACCGTACAGAAGATGAATTTGAGGAAAAATGTGGAACAAAATAAAAAACTCAATAATGACCAGAATTACTTGTCGGATGGAGTCTGGTGAGACCCCCAATACTATGGCCCTGGGAAACATTCTGGGCCTCGAATAAAACTCACTCCCAGGGGCTGACTCTCAGCCCAATAGAAAACAAAATGTACACGCAGACCACTCAACACAGGGTGACGCACCCACAAACTGTGGAAATGCATCCCTTGGAACAATCGAGCACGGGGCACCAGTAGGGCAACATTTGCACGGAGGAAATGCAGGACACACAGGAGGGCATAACTATGGGGGGGGGGAGCGTGGCGGGGGGGGAGGGTTTACTGGGAGGGGAGGGAAGGAGACTGGGTTAGGGTTGGGGATGGTAAATGGAGAGTGAAAACTAAATGTACACATAATGTTGAACGTAGAACAAACTGCTCTGTAATAATAATTAAAAAATTAACCAACAACAAAAAAGATCATAGCCCGGGGGGTGGGGGGAATAAAAATAAAAGTTGAACTTGTTAATTTAAAAAAAAAAGAAAATGAATTTGATCTGTAAACTTTCACCCAAATTGCAATAAATTTTTTTTAAAGACTTGACAGCAATGGGTGTTTAACAGATAAGCCTATCTAGTGGAGTCCCTGGTGGCACAAATGGTTAAGAACTAGACCATAACTGTAACATTGTCAGTTAGAACCCTCCCACAGGTACCTCAGAGAAAAGGCCTGGTGATCTGCTTTCCAAAGGTCCCAGACTTGAAAACCCTTGGTACACATGGGGTTATCATTGAGTCTAACTGACTGCAACAGGATGAGGATCTGTCTACAAGCCACAGAACAACAAGAAATGACAGGCTACAAAAACTAAAGGAGATAAAAAAAAGATCTTCCTCTGAAACAGACAGACAGCACAGCCCTGCCAAATCTGAATTCAGAGTCAGCCTCCAGCACTGTAAGGAAATACATTTCTGTGCTTTAAAGCTCCCCCTGTGTGAGATTTTATTATGGTAGCCCTAGGAAACTAAGACCATTACTTAACAAATTACCAACGCTGATGACAACAAAAACAAAAATATCGACTACAATCAGAATGCTCCTTGAAAACGAGGATGGCAAGACTTCATGTCATGGACTTTGGACATGTTATCAGGAGGGACCAGTCCCTGGAGAAAGGCATCAGCCTGGTAAAGCCAGTGAAAAAGAGGAAGGCCCTCAATGAGATGGAGTGACACAATGGCTACAAGAATGGGCTCAAGCACAGCAATGATTGTGAGGATGGGGCAGGACTGGATAGTGGTTTGTTCTGTTGTACACAGGGTCACTGGGAGTTAGAACCAACTTGACAACACCTAACAACAACAACATTCTATTACAAAAATATTGACTACTATACTATTATCTAGAACCCCTGGTGGTGCAGTGGTTAAGCACTGGGCTGCTAACTGAAAGGTCTGCACTTCAAATCCACCAGCCACTCTGTGAGAGAAGCAAGAGAAAGATGTGGCAGTCGGCTTCCATAGAGATCACAGCCTTAGAAACACTATGGGGCAGTTCTACTCTGCTCTATAGGGTTGCTATGACTTGGAACTGACTTGATGGCAGCAGTTCATACACACTGTATTTGGTGACACTGATGGCAATCCTGACAACAAAACAG